AAAGAGGAAACGTTTTACAAAACTGTTTTATTTGTTCTATACATCAAATAAATATTCAAAGTTTGTGTCATTGTACAACCTATAAGAGGGGATATTATGTAATACTAAATCCATCGGAATTGAAGTTGTACGCTAATTCTAATAATGCACATTATCCCAGACCGACATACTCAATCCCAAAGATTCAAAGTGAGATTTATCTCGTAATTCCATAATAAAATAAATAGATGACAAAATATGGCTTCTTCGGATCCACTACCCTACCCGACATAACAGTAACACTCTTTGCACTAAGGGAAGTTAAGAGCGAGCGAGAGAGAGAGAGAGAGAGAGAGAGAGAGAGAGAGAGAGAGAGAGAGAGAGAGAGAGAGAGAGAGAGAGAGAGAGAGAGAGAGAGAGAGAGAGAGAGAGAGAGAGAGAGAGAGAAGAGAGAGAGAGAGAGAGAGAGAGAGAGAGAGAGAGAGAGAGAGAGAGAGAGAGAGAGAGAGAGAGAATAAAATCATCAGGTCTTACCAACGGCATTTTAGGACCATTATCACATTCTAAACACACACAGCCAAGACCCCTATTGCACATCTCTTACAAAGGACTTTACATGGCTCTCGGGGAATCCTACCTCGCTCTCTGCACCGCCTGTGTTGGGGTTCGTCCAATCCTTAATAACTTTGTCTTTGATCACTAACACATCCTTAACAATTTCACAAAAATCCTCTGAACTTTCCCTTCACACTCTTGGCGACAGTTACCGTACATACAGGGTCGCTAACGCACTGGTACTAAAATAAATTCATGCATATATTTTTCCTACTTTCCAAATCCCTTATAAGTACATATCTAAAGTTACACGAAATCAAAAGATATACACACGCTACAAAAGTATAAACAGAAATGATAATTCTTACACCCAAACATCGAAATAATGAACGAACTGGGAGCGTCCAGAATAAAGTGATGGTAAACGTATAGTGTGCTTGCATGAATGAATTCGTGCGTATATATGTTTGCTTACATTCGTGCTAGAATTCAGCTTTCAGTGACAAAACAATAATAGACCGTCATGGATGATCATTTCCAAACAATCCTAGAGAACTTTCTCGACTCGATTTCATTACTCTTGACAGCTAGACAAGTTAGCCTTTTTGTACACAATGACACAGTACATACAGGGTACTGCTTGAACATATGTCACACTGTATGAATGAATAGAAATTAACATAAATGCAAATCTAAGTATTGTTAGATATACCTTACTCTTCCAATATTTCAACTCTTCATTCTAACTTTACACAGATCTAGATAGTTACCGACGACAAGATCACCAGCAGATTCTATTTCAAGCAACGTCGAGGTCAAACAGCAGTTTAGATGTTAAAATCGGAAACATACACATGAACTTATTCGTTCAGCACCTTTAACTATAGACTATCGAACAGTAATCAAAAGATAACGAAATGGAGAGCACGATAAAGGATATTAGTAGGATCAGTAAGAACGTTATAGTGTGCTTTGACATGATTAATTAATTCGATAGCGATAATTAAATTGCTATACACTATTCGATGTACTACGAATTTAAACAGCTTTTATCAAAGTGACATAATAACATAATTAAATTAAACGCTAATTGAATCAAAGTATAATAAATACTAAAATACCTAACTCTTCCATCCCATAGCAACTATCACATTCTATAAACAAATAAATATGTTGATAATATATGTAATAAATGTAGTTACATTAAAAAATAGGTCGTTACTGAATGTAATGCCCGCGTGTGTCAGTATATTATACTTGAGCACATATGTTATTTTACACACATATTTTCACACACTGATCATTCTGTGATCTATAATTTAGAGATATAGATCGTTATTAAAACACGTGATAGAACGAACATAATTCTGTGCTTTGATCGATTCCCACCTAAGCAGACACGTATAATGTCAAAACACGTGCCGAAAGTGAAGGCATGCAAAACTTTGTTGTCAGACGTTTTGTTGTATTTGTTTATCCATAAGAAATATCTGTTTCCTGAATTGATAGATATGTACTAGTTGAGGTCCGCCACACTTCGAGCCTACTCTTAAGCATTCGCGAGTCCAAAGCAAATCTTTGGCTTTTGAACGGTTAATAATTACAACCAGTATATTCGCAGCAACTACAAAATTGTGCGTTAATCTAGTAGATTGCACAAGAATTCTTGCTATTCACCGAAATGATTGATTTGCAAAATATGCAGTTTCAACTTTCTCTCTCGCGCCTTGGCTGTTCTCGATATTTCCTATTGTATTTCACGCGATTGGCAAACGGAAACATTCTGTACATTACCCGATGACTATGCTATTGTATCCGGAGTAATTACTAGTTTAGATTAGCGCACATAGAGGTGCTATATTTATCAGTGCAAGAATATGGTAAGTTAGAAGATGAATGCAGATTCAATAGCCAGAAAGACTTTTGAGTAGCGCCCGGGAATGCAGGCCATGGCCGTTGGTGCACGACTCGTGCCCGGGAACACACTACCACATGCTCTGACACTATCGCTTCGGGGCATACCAGCGAGAAACAGGACGCTGGGCTCGAGTCACGACTCGGAAAAATACTAAACCAAAACTAACATTGACATAAGACATTAATAATAAAGAACCGAACCTATAAAAACCCAAACACGTGTAACTTGTGATATACACTACCACTGGCTCGATCCTGACACACTGTTCAGCTAGTAAATCAATGGAAATGTTTTAGGGAACAACATTCTCAAAGAATAAGTCAAATATAAATATAAATAAATCATAAAACATTTGATTGCTTACTAGAGACCGTGCCAGTGCTATATGTCACCTCTGGCGAACACAAATTTGGTGGTAGGTGGTGGTTGGTGATGTGCTGGTGTGTGTGTGTGTGTGTGTGTGGGTAATGTATAATATATAAATTATAATAGAGTATATATATATAATATATATAATAAATAATATATATTATATACGCTTGTGTTGATTGTGTTGTTATGGTTAATGTTATGTAGTAAGGAATATAACACTTAACAGTATATTAACTATAGCTGGGCACTTTCCCATATACCACTAAGTACTAAATGATGATACATACCATAAAACTATTATAATATTAAACAAGCAAAATATATATATTAAACACACTAACTACAAACAATCACCGAGAGTAAATTAATAAATTCTAAATATATGAAGAAATCACACAGCGAAAATTTGGCTTTGTAATTAAATAGAGTTGCAAATAATACATGATGCCGTTTAATAAAATAATTTATATCACCACATATTTCACCTTCACTCACATTAGCACTGAGAAGATAGGTATATATCATCATATCGAATACTCTTCACTATAATGCCATATCTATATGTAAGGTAAGAACTATGAAACAAGCATAGGGAAAAGTAATAACTAATAGAACACTAGATGGTAGATTTTATTTGTTCACGTAGTGTTATGCTATGTATGTGTTACGTTATCTAAATACTAGCAGAACGATAATGATGGTAACCGTCAATGTAACATAATACTGAAAAGATAACAAATGAAATCAAATGTTGACATATTAATAATATACGAGTGCACCAGCATTCACCTAAACAGATGTTATACTTTGATCCCATAATGTCACAAAACGCTTTACAAAAATTATTCAGGTGTATTTAATTCGTTTCTTCCCTTACAAATTCATATTATTTCAAGTATATCGCTTCACACTCAACATTGCATAGTGTTAATTTATTCCAACTGATTTTCACTAATTATGCCGTAACACCTGAATTTGCAGACACGACACTTCGCTGAACTCCGCTTCGGCAATCACATCGACAAAAGCGGCATCGTTTGGCCGAGCCCAAAAAACCAACCACCGAGGACGACTCGGCTTGCCGGAGCCTTGAGCGACTCCGCCTTGCTGCCGCCAAGCTTTGTGCAAATCGGGGCCGGCGTTGCTGATCAAGCGCTCCGGATTCCTGAGTTGCTCGACGAAGATCCTAGCCACAGAAGGCCGACGAAGCAGCCATTAGGAGTGGCCCCGGGCAGGGTCACAGCGGTAACATGGCGCGGAGCCGGGAGACCTCCACTGGCCAGGTGTGGAGGTATGCGG